GGAGGAGGAGGAGGAGGAGGAAGAGGAGGAGGAGGAGGAGGTAGAAGAAGAGGATGAGGAGGAAGAAGAGGAGGAGGCCCCGACGATGGAGGAGAAGGAAGTGGAGGAGGAGGAGACGATGGCGACGGAGGAGGAGGAAGGAGAAGAAGAGGAGGAGGAGGAGCAAGAGGACAAGGATGTGGAGGAGGAGAAGGAGGACGACGACAACCAGGAGGATGACGAAAAGGAGGAAGAGGAGGACGAGGACGAGAAGAGGAGAAGCGGGAGGAGGAAGACAGGAGAAGCAAAAGGAGGAGGAGGAGGAGGCAAGGGAGAAGGAGGAGCAGGAGGAGATTGACGAAGAGAAGTTGGCTCACCTGGCATGAGCGGGTGATGGCGCGTGGGGTGGCGGTCGTCGACGTCGGAGTTCGGCAATGGTACCACGGAAGTCTGGCGACAGCGTGGGGCCCAAAACGCGCAGGTGAGATCGCTAGGGCGCCCAATTTAGAATTTCAAAATAGCCCGATTTGGGTCGTCTATCTCGCAGATCTGACGGCCCACATCAGGCCGTTTTGCTTTTCAATTTTGGAGGCCCTATCGGCCTCCAACACATATTCTCGTCGGCGCCCCCGGTTCGCCTGTCCCAGCAGTCTACCCCTCTACCGCCCAAACCCCAGTCCTGAACCCACCTTAATTTTTTTCAGCGGTCGGACGTAGGGGCCCTGGCGGATGGCCGACCGGTTGTCTGATCGGACGGTTTCGGACAGTCAGAGGGGTCCCGGACGTCCAATCAGGTAACGTAGATAAAAAGGTGATGGATCGGTGTTCCCCATGCCACGTAGGTGGCGAGGTAATGCCACGAAGGAGGGGATCGATTCCCCACCCCTCACAAGTCGAAATCATTATCTGTTTTTTTTTTCTTCAAGAAAGTGATTGTCCCGAGTAATAGATCGGTGATCCCAATGCCACGTAGGTGGCGAGGTAACTTGAATGCCACGAAGGAGGGGATCGATTCCCTACCCCTCACAAATCGAAATCATTATCATTTTTCTTTCTTTCGAGAAAATGATAAAAACGATGATGGATCGGTGATCCTAATGCCACGTAGGTGGGAGAGGTAATGCCACGAAGGAGGGGATCGATTTCGTACCCCTCACAAATCGAAATCATTATCTCTGTTTTTTTTTCTTCGAGAAAGTGATTGTCCCAGTGGCGTCATTCCAGTTGAGGATCCGACATTTGTAAAACGACAAATGCCCTTGCTGTCCCTACCCAATAAAGGGTCTGACGTATGAGAAACGTCGAACCTTCACCGACATCGTCCCGCTCAAGGGTCCGGCTTCTACCAAATGCTGAACCAAATGCCAGACCCCACGCGTACAACGACACCCTAGTCGGTTGGTGTCGGTGAGGGTCTGGCGTTTGACAAACACCGGACCCTCAAGTTGGACGACGCCGGCGAGGGTCCAGCGTTTGGCAAACGCCAGACCATTCCCCCCCCCCTCCTAGAGTGACCAACGTCAGCGATGGTTCGGTGTTTGCCAAACGCCGGACCCTTGCTGGCGTAATTCCGCTTAAGTGTCCGGCGTTTGTTACCTAACAAAAAAAATTGTTAGGTTTCCACGAAATTTTTTAAAGATTCTGATAATACATTTTTCAGGCCTCCAACATGAACAATATTCTATGTGAAGTAAAGTTACCGCAAAAAATGAATAAAAAAGTACTTTTTTAAAACCACTAGAAGTGGTGAGAAGAGAAGCAAGTCTTTTTACAAAAAATCACTACCTTGCAAAACACCGTTTGTTCAATAATCAAAATATCCCAATTTTTTGTTTATTTAAAAAAATCAAATTTATAGTTCTATAAGGTATGTAACACGATGAACCTATTCGGGGGTTTCCCAAACATGCACATATATTCTCCTATTAATGAATATATTCTATTGGATATGTTTTTTAATTTTTTTTATAAAAATATTTTCCCACAGTTGTTTGAATTCTTCATTTACATAACATATATTCTTTGATAAGGATTTTACAATAAACTTTAAAATGAATTATATTAATTTATAGTTCTATAAATTAGTTTTCACAGAACTTGGTTTTTACCAAACTGTTGAAAACAACTTATAGTTCTATAAATGAGTATTCACTGAAACTGTTTTTTTTAACGTCTTTCAAGTTCGCCTTGCAGTCCCTTGAGATTGATTGTTTGAGCTATGCTTTTTGTCAATCTACTGAAAACGACTTATAGTCGTATAACATGTTTTTTTATTGGAAAGGGTTTTCTTGCACATTTTAAGAATCACTAGACTTTTTGCCAATTTTTTTGCCTCCGTTCTCGGGAAAGAATTAAAAACACTCTCTTTAATGTGTCAAAAATAAGAGTTTGACTTTTACTTTTTCATTCTGTAAAAAATGTTAGGTTTTGTGGTTTTGTTAGGTTTCACGAATTCAGTGTTCGGACCCTCTTACGGTCGAGCGCCGTGAAAGGGTCTGGCGTTTGTGAAACGCCAGACCCTCTCCGACATTGTTTCGCTTGTGGATCCGGCGTGTGACAAACGCCGGACCCCACGCGCTTAACACCACCAGAGAAGGTCGCCAAAACCCAAATGCATCGATGTCGGGGGGGGGGGGAACCTGCTGACCCTCCACTGTTCATTGCTAGGAAACGATGGTCTAGCGTTTGTGAAAGGTCTGGTCCCCCTCGCCACATGCACGCCATGGGGGTTCTACTATGTATGCCTATGTTAGTTGCAATGTGTTCTGTTCTTCATGGGTGTAATGCGTTCGGCCACTGAATGCCGACAACGTCCCTTAGGCTTGTTTGACATGCCGCGAACATCGCTTTATGGGATTGTCCGATTTCTTGGCGATGTGGCGGTAATACTCGACAACTCCATCATTTCGTTGCGTTTGTATTTCCCTTCAGGGAGTTGTCGGAAGAGTTCGAAAGATCGGGAGAAAAAAGTCAACAATCGGTCCAAACTCTACGGATACAAGCTATGGGCTCTTGTCTAGCTCGGCGGGACGAATGAGGCCGAGTGTGGTGCCACTGTTTTTTTGACGGAGGACGAAGGGATGAGCTGGTAATGTTGTGGTGGCATCATGAGGTCCGAAATTTACAAGGCGACGATGGAGAAGGGCAAGGTCGACGAGTGAGACTTAAGGAAGTTCTTCCTCCCTTCGACGTACGATGATCAGGGTACTGGTTGGGTCAAAATTGACCAGAAAGTAAGCCTCAACCTTGCTCTGTTCAAGGGATATGGTGAGAAGGTATTCACTATGAAAACCTTCAACGTGAAGAGGGATGAAATTGAGTTCGGGATGCTCTATCCCGTTGATTTCCTTAACAAGAGCAACGACTACATAAAAAGTGGTCAGTACCCAATGGTCGGGGCTGGTCACCAACTCATTATGCCTCTTGTGTCGTTGAACGCCCCTATCGAAAGTCTCGCAGGCTTATTGACGTGCTCTGGCAATCGGCGTCAGGTTGTGTCAGCACCATAGCAACCTATTCATGACAAGGATAACTTGATTACTTACTCGAGGCGTTCGGGGGGACGGTTATCGAACAAGCCTCCGTAGAGGAAGGTGTTCGCCACACGTTCTTCGCAACTCGCACGACCTTCTGGTGCTGCCGGCAGCTCGCACTCGCAGGATACCCGACAAGAGGAACTCAGCGTTGAGGAGTTGGAGGAGCGAACGGAGGAAGACCATCGGGTTCGTCAAATGGATGTACAATTCTTAGAGATACCTGGGCATATGCGGGGCGAAGGATCTTGTGACTTGAATGTGGGGCAGGCAGTTGGGGGAGGTTGCGGTGCCCGGTTCGGGGACGATGGAGAAGATGACGAACAGGAAGGGGAGTGTGGTAGTGGCGGAGGATGCGAACACAGTGAGGTGGGGAAGGTTACTGCAATGGAACGACGGGACATATGGAGTAGGAAAGAGGTGCGGCAAGCGGTGGGATGAGCGATGACAGTATGGTTGGTGAGGATATGGAAGAGGAAGAATTGGAAGACAAAGGAGGAGATGTTGGTGTTTCCGCAGGGCAAGCTTTGAAGGGGAGGGGAAAGTGAGCAGCAGAAGTGTCCTCTACGCCAGCCGCGTCAAAGAAACAAGATAGAAGAAAAGTTGTAGACGAAGCTTGGGTCGCCTTGGATGCATCGCAGGGGACGTCTGGTGAATCCGATGAGAAACACAAAGCAAGCGGTCGGCCCTGTGGAGCACCAGGCAGCACAGTAGAGGCAACATGGTTGCACAACGCCAAAAACGACTGCAAGGAAAGACATGGCACGCAACGCGGAAATACGGAAGGCACGGCCAGCGGATGGGAGCCAAGGCAGCGGAGCAGCGAAGCGCAAGACAACGCCGACAACACAACCACACCACACAGCGAACACAACAACTTGCAGAGAGCAACATGCAAAGCAAGCGGGACAGGCAGCAAGGCGGCAGTGGTGCGCAGACGAGGCAGTCCACACATCCAACACGGAGCAAAGCAGCGCATGACCTACTCACATCACGATTGATCCCTACAGACTGTTCGTTCCCATCACCCACTTATCCAGGGAGACACCCCGACGAGCATCCGTCATCACCTACAGGCAAAACAGACATCGCGAACCGAGAGGCCCCCATAAGAGTGCAGTAGGCACTCCAAACGAGGAACCACCGACTGTTTGGCACTACTTGAGGGTGCTCAGTTTGGGTAAGCAAAAACACTTAGAAAAAGATCAGGGGGACAACTGATTGTGTGTGTGTGTGTGTGTGTGTGTGTGTGTGTCGGGGGGAGGGTTGGGAGGACCTCCCCCACCAATCAATCAATCAATCAATCAATCAATCAATCAACCAATCAATCAATCGGGGTGGGTGGCACTGCCCTCTAACCTAGCTGGATTGGGGTGTGAGACCAGGTAGAGGCTTGGTTGGTACACAAAATTGGCTCAGTAGAGACTGGCTGGTTGGTTTGAATACCTAAGATTAGGGTTAGGGTAGTATGTGAGTTCTGAGTAGATAAGCATTCTGAGTAGTTAGCATCAATCTCTAGCTTGTTATCTCAATCATCTGGAAGTGTTCCTGAATCATCCCAAAATCTCATCAATCATTAATGTATTCCAATTATAAGGGACACTATTCCCACCACGTGCTGCTCCCCACGAATAGATTGGAGCTTTTATTTAAAAAAAAAAAAAAAAAAAAAAACAGTTTGCAATTGCAGTTGCTGCAATGTATACAACCCAGCTTTCTGGCCAGGTAGGGTAGGCAATGCCCGAAGTGCAATTGCAAACTGTATCTTGGCCCATACTGGCCGCATAGTGCAATTATAACTCCTTTTTGTGACTCTACTGAAGGCAACAGATCTCTGGGCCCCCCTCTTTGCTCATATCGGCCTCAAATAGGCCACACAAAATTTATGCAGGCCCGGC